AATTTTTCTTAAAAATTCAGCAGCAAAGCTGATTAATGTGTAAGAATGCATGCATGTGGGCTACATAGATTGTGAGTTTGTTATTTAAATGATAAATGTTGCTGATGGGCTCTTTTTGTAGCAGGTACTCATTTGCATATTAAGCGACACCCCCCCTAATGTAGCCAATCCTCCAAGAGCTTACAGTAGCTCCTGTAAGAAGAGCTCTGTAAGCTCTTGAAGGATTGGCTACATTAGGGGTGTGTGGCCTAATATGCAAAGGAGTTCCTGCTACAAAAAGAGCCCTATGTAACAATGCTTTTTTTACATGAGATGTCATTCCCTATACAAGTGCAGTTCTGTCCCGAACTCCCCTTTCATCTCTCCCTGCAGCTCCCCGATCGTACCTTCTGGCTTCTAGCCCGTCCCCCTTTTCCTCCTCGTCTCCCGAGAACGTGGAAGACTCCGGATTGGACTCGCCGTCACACCCAGCCACCGGGCCCTCCCCGGATTCCCGTCTGTGGAGCCCGCGACCCTGCACCCCCCAGAGCCCTCTCGGCAAACGGTCTTCGAAGAGCTCCTTGAGTCTTCGCGGCAGCCGCCGTGGCCTGCTGGCTGAGGACGGACCCAACCCCTGGCTGCCCCAACCCGCCTCCCAGGATCTCCCCTGCTTCGCGTCAGATCCCGACTGGGCAGATTCCGTATCTTCATGGCCCGTGGTGGCCCACAGCAATTCCACCTGCCAGCGGGAAGCGTCCTCCCCCGACCCGTTCTCCTTGGAGGGTGCCGTCGGCAACCGGCGGCCCTGGCCAATCAGGCCTCGCAGCCCGGCCTCGGACTGCCCCCCACGGGCCTGCGAGCGTGACAGCTGCCTGTCGTCCAATTCGGCCTCCTCATCGTCCTCCTCCCCAGCGCCCCCCAGCAGCGGTGACTCCACCAGCCCCTCCCCGTGGGCCCCACGGTGCCGAGACTCAGAAAGTGGGACACCAGGTATCCCTGAAGTGTCGTCTGAACCGAGTAAGGACAATTAGGATGTGTTGTTTTTAAATTATGTGGATGTTGGGGCTCTAAATAAATAATAAAAAATGGTAGTTATGGGAGGGAGAAGGGTAAAGGGGGGATCTGTATGTGCAGGG